CGCCGGCCGAAGGTTCGTCGTGGGGTGCCTGACGCTCAACGGGCAGGCGCTGCAGGCGATCAACTACAGGTCCGCCGGCATCATCGGGAAAGTTCGCCCCGTGGCGTGCAGCGTGTGCGACGCCGACGTGAGCTGCTTTGCTGCTGCGACGAGGGCGATGTCGGAGTCGTGCGGCTGCCGCTGTGCTGAGGGCGGGTACGGGCGCGACTGCCTGCCGGTGTACCTGCCGCGCGTAGACGGGTGCAACCGCACGCCCGAGAAACCGCCGCTGAGCCACACGGCGACGCTGACGGCGACGCGCAGCCTGACACCAACGTGGACGCCAACAGCGCCAACAACGAGCCTGAGTGCGACGCGCTACAGTCAGACGAACTACGGACCGACGGAGACGCCGCAGGTGACGGAAACGGTGACGCTGCCGCCCACGCTGACCCCGGCAGCGTCGGTTACGGCGACGGAGCTGCCGACCGCGACAGTGACGGCATCGGAGTCACTGAGCGTGAGCCTGTCGGTGAGCAGCACGCCGTGGTGGAGCGACGTGGCGTGCCCGACACTTACCGTGACGACGACGGCGGCTAGTGGGAGCCTGACGCAGAGCGACATCCGCGGCGGTGGGAGCGCCGTCCCGACATGGCTGATGGTGGCGCTGCCGCCGCCGTTCCGGTGGGCAGGCGACTTGCAGCTCGGCACGCACCTGAGCTTCGTGCCGGTGTCAACCTTGCAGCCGACCGGCTTTGGTGGTCCGTGGGGAGCGATGCTGAGCAACGCGACGTGGGAGCGCAACGCGACGAATCCGTCCACCGTACTGGAGCTGGCTGTGCCCGTGCACCGCGGTTACTTCATTGGTGCCGACGAGACGATAGTCATTCGCTGCGACGCTGTGGCGGTGTTTGGCGGCTGCAACGGTGCGCTACTTGGGTCTTTCACCATCGCGTCCAACACGCCGCCCGCCGTTGCCAGCGCCCTCTCGACGATCACCGGCGTTGTTGCGGGTGCGACGGCTGTTGCCGTGGTGGTGACCGGCGGGCTGGGCTCCATCCTGGAGATGCAGGCACTCGGCGTGTTTGCGAGGATGTCATGTGCCTCGGCGCAGGAGCGTGCGAGCACCGTTGCGCTGCCGTACTTCCTGTCGGTGTTCGCTGCCCTTGACCCGCTGTGGATGGTGGTGGGCAACGCGCTGCTCGCCGCTGTGTTCGGGTGCGTGCACTACGGTGTGACGGCGGCCTTCCAGCGGTGGCGCGGCGTGGACGCGGCGAGTGCGTGGGCGGCGATGCGCTTCCCGAGCCTGACGTACGTCGTGGCGCACGCGATGCACCTCGGCATCTTCTTCGGCTCCGTGTTCGCACTGGCGATGCCCGGCGCCCGCGTGCAGCACCGCGTGATCGGTGTCTTTGGTGTGCTGTACGGTGTGGCGTTTCCTGCTGGCGTGTGCTACTTGATTGCCCGCCACACGGGCGCGAGCTTTGCGAAGTACTGGCAGTTTTCGAGGAAGCCGCTGCACGAGCGCCTGCTGTACCCCGTCGGGTATTGGCACCCCGCAGTGCAGCAGCGGATGTACGGCGGCATGCTGACGAACATGAAGGGCAGCCACGTGTACTGGTGCGTGTTCCAGCTGTCGGTGCTGTGTGTGGTGGGCCTGATTGCGGCTGTGCACCCGCCCGTGGGAGTCTGCCACGTCCTGTACTTCTGCATGGCTGCTGTGCTGCTTGCGGGTGCGGGCGTGGTTGCCTTCACGAACATGATGCGCTCGGCCTTCCTGACGGTGATGCGCACGGCGAGCTTTGTGCTCCTTGCGGCGCTGTGCCTGACCAGCGCGGCCAACCATCTTGCGCCCAGCGACGGCGGAGCGAGGGCGTACGCAGCACTTCTGATGCTGCTGACCGCTGTGCTGCTTGCGGCCACTGTGTACTGTGCGGTTGTGTGGTACGTGGAGGACCACCACTGGCAGGAACTGCGCGAGCCACAGCGTGGCGAGCTGGATGCGCTGCTGCACGATGACGAGGAGAGTGACGAAGAGTTGCGGAAGCACCACGACAGGACATCATCATCGTACGCTTCACGCACCGCCGGCGCGTCGTCGTACCGACCACCCGCACCGCCGCAGTGGGAGCGCATAATTGGTAGCAACGAACGCAATCCAGATACCATTGACCGTCAGCCGCAGCCACTGGCAGTCGACACCCACTCCAACGCATTAAGCTTCCTGGACCGTGCATCAACTACACGCGGAAGCGTGAATCACGCTATCCTGTGACATGCGCCACGTGAAATTTGTGTGCGGTGCTGGCCGATGGGGGGAGATGGCGCAGGGCCACGGCTGCTGCGCGCCACGGCCAGTCATTGTATGGCGCACCAACAGTGTCGCTCATTTTTGTTTTCATTGGTGCTTTTCTATTGTCTTTCTTTTCTGCCAGTGTTCATTTGATTGTCTTGTAATTTCCAGCGATTGTGTGGAGTTTTGTCCATACTTTTATTTTATCTTTTCTAGTTTACACCAACTTCACAGTGTTTGTTTTGTAATTCTTTCTCGTTTCTTTTGTCACTCTGTGATCCGCCACCACCAGCAGCTGCTGCGTGTATATCGCTGCGTGGAAGTGGCGGGTGTGCGGTGCTGGCCGATGGGGGGAGATGGCGCGGGGCCACGGCTGCTGCGCACCACGGCCAGTCATTGTATGGCGCACCGACAGTGTCGCTCATTTTTGTTTTCATTGGTGCTTTTCTATTGTCTTTCTCTCCTGCCAGTGTTCATTTGATTGTCTTGTAATTTCCAGCGATTGTGTGGGAGGCTACGCGTTTGTGGCTTGGCTGCGGCAGAGGTGAGTGCTTGGGTGTTGGAGTCCGCTGCATGCATTTTTTTTTTTTCGTGTGGCATCAGGTGGTGTGTGCTGTCCCGAAGTCCTGCCTCTCTCCTCCTGCATGTTTGTTTTCCGTCCGCTGTGGCACTGCGGTGCACGGGCGAAGTAGTCGTTTGGATTCTTTTGTGATGCGTCGCATCTTACGCTTTGCTGCGCCGTTGGTTTGTGGGGGACGAAGTTGTGCCACGACGCGTGGGGATGATGCCAGCCGCACAGAGCGCAAGGAGGACATTGTGACGCCGTGGGGTGTTGCCGCCACGGGCCCGAGGGGTGTGGACTATGACCGCGTCCTCACACGATTCAGGTCGGAGCCCGTTGATGAGCCCCTTCTGCAGCGGCTGGAGGAAACATGCAACGGACGGAAGGAGCACGCGCAGGCAACCAGCACCGCACAAGGGGAGACGGGACAGATGGCATTGCGCCATTTTTTCCGCCGCGGCATTGTCTTCTCCCACAGGGATTTTGGAACCGCCCTTGACTGCGTGCGTGCGTCCTTTGCGACGGGGACACACCGCGCGTACTTGTACACTGGCCGTGGACCGAGCGCGCAGTCGATGCACATTGGCCATGTCATACCGTTTTTATTGACGCGGTACCTGCAGGATGCGCTCGGTCTTCCGTTGGTGATTCAGATAACCGATGATGAGAAGCACTTCTTCCGCGACATTCCCGTCAGCGGGGAGAGGGCGAGCGGGTTGGTGGTGGAGAACATAAAAGACATCATTGCCTTTGGCTTCGATCCACGCAAGACATTTATATTCCGCAACACGGTGTACATGGGGGACATGTACCCAACTGTCGTGCAGGTGCAGCGCATGTTGACGCTGAGCGCTGTGAAGAATACATTTGGCCTGAAGGATAGCGACAATGTTGGAAAGGCAGCCTTTCCAGCGGTGCAGGCCGCGCCGTGTTTTAGCAGTGCCTTCCCCCGTGTGCTACCACGGCTAGCTGGGGACCCGCCGCTGAAGTGCATCATTCCCTGTGCAATTGATCAGGACCCTTTTTTCCTCCTGGCACGCAACGTCGCGCCGCGTATGAAGTGCTGCGCCCCCGCACTGCTGCACACAAAGTTCCTCCCCGCACTGAAGGGAGCGCAGTTCAAGATGAGCAGCAGCGCCGAGGGGAACGGAGTCATCACACTACACGACACGGAGCAGGAGGTGCGGAAGAAGGTGCGCAAGGCCTTCTCTGGTGGGGGTGGCACGTTGGAGGACATGCGTGCGGAGGGTGTCAACCTGCACGCAGACGTGGCGTACCAACTCATTCGGTTCTTCTGCCCCGACGACAATCTCCTCGCGGAGGTGACGTCGAAGTACAGCAGGGGTGAGATGAACAGCGCCGAGGTAAAGGAACTCGCCGCGGATGTCGTTGTGCGGCACGTCTTGTCGGGGTGGCAGGCGCGGCGGGCTGGCGTCACAGATGCCGACGTGGAACAGTTCTCCAGCATCCGCAGCATTCTTCTGTGAATGCCGGCAGGAGGGAGGAAGGGATGATGGGGGAGAGAGGGCGCACATGCAACGGGAGTGGTGTGGCTGAGTGTGGTGTCCGTGAAGATGATGCATTTAGGTGGGGGCGTGCTGGTTGTTGTGGTACCCACTGCGTATATTTGTTTGCTGTGGCTTCTGCTGGACTGCACGTGAACGCCTGGTGTTCCCCTTGCAGTTGTACAAGAAGTATTTTAGACCAACAGTAGATAGGGGACTATTAGGCTGCAATGGGGCGGGGGCCGCACCACGATGGCACGCGCCACGGGAAGGAGGGCCGCGGGGTTTTCCGAGGGAGAAGGGGTGCGACACGACCCTACGAAAACGTTGATGGGTGCGGCATTTGCTGCGGGGATTGTTCAGGAGATGTAGCGGACGCTTCTGCCGCTAGGGGCTATGCCACTCGGGCACGTGACGCGCTGCGGTTCCCAAACGTGTGGCGAGCGTCTGGCGAGACACGTTGCGTGCGCTGCCGGAGGGAAGGGCCGCTGCTCTGCATGACTATTTGAGCTCTACGGGGCGCACCGCATGCTTTGATGGTATTCTGCGGGAATGTGGACACCTCGTCGACCACGGGCCCCGTGAGACACTGAGGTTCTACGCCGTTACCTGCCGTGGTGCGACCCCGCATGAAGGCCTCTGTGCCGATCCCGCGAGCAGCATGGCGGCACTGCAGTCCTTCGGTCTTGACGTTGTGACGCCGCAACCGGCAGTAGAGCTGGGGACAGACGAATACGCAGCCCTGCGAGACGGCATGGCGCGTCGTCTTAACCGTGAGGGTGCGGTGGTGAACGGCTGCAACGAGGCGGGGGTTGTTGTGCGGATGTGGAGGCAGCGGTCCCACGCATACGCAATGGAGCGTGCGGCGCAGGAGGCCATCGTCACGCACCGTTTGTGCGGTGTGGCGCTCCGCTCGAGGCTCGCAGGCAAGCTCGCCGGGCTGCCAGAGGAGGTGCGCCGGTGCCTCGGCGACTGGGAAGCGGAACGCCTCGAATATCTTGTGCGGTTTGCAGCGTGGCTGCATGTGACGGGGCGGCAAACGGCGCGAACGGACTTCGGCGGGCTGCAAGACCTGCGCCGCCGATGGATCACGCTGCAAGTCCAGTTCACGCAGTGTGTCGCCGCCGATGCGCACGTGCGGTCCCAAGTGAAGCACTGCGAGCCGTCCGGTGACGACGCCGTCACCAGCGACCCCGACGCTGTCGTCTGCGTTGGTCCGCAGGGCTGCGGCAAGTCCACATTCTCCCGCACCCTGTACGCTCTGCTGCGCCAGGCAGGGCTTTCGCCATGCTGGATCAACCAAGACGAGGCCGGGGGAAGGCGGCAGTTTCTTGACGCCATTCGGCGCGCGCAGCGAGGTGGCCACACGCACCTCATCATCGACAAGATGAACCTCGATGAGGCCGCACGCGACGACTACGCCGATCTCGGGCTCAGGGCATTGCCAGTGGTATGGCCACACCCCGATGGCACGGATGCACTAGTGGACATCTGCTTCGACCGAGTCTGTCGCCGTGGTCCTGCCCACCGCACTTTCAAGGCGGACAGAAGGGAAGGGCGGCGCGTGCGTCAAAGGCTGCTGTACTGTGCGATGCGGTGCCGTCCACCAACCGAGGGGCCGCTCATTGAGGTAAGCGTGGCAGACGACACTGCCGCCATTGCACGGCGCGTTTGGGCTGAACTTTCCGCACGTGGTTTGACGGACATACCCGAAATTCAGACACTCGACATGGCGGCAGCATTGGGCGTGGCGAACGCCTGCGAGTCTTTTCTGTGCCGTTTCCCCCGCCACGTGGAGTATGCTGCAATTCAGATTGCGTCACCCGAGAGGGTTCTTGAGCTTGTGCCGCCAGAGATGCTGGACAGCAAGAAGGTGCAGAAAGCCTTCCATGTGACGACGCTGTACCTGGGTCGTGACGCCTGCAATGACCCTGTCCTGCTGCAGCAGCTGGTGGGGCTGCTGGGCGAGTCCATTGAGCTCACGCTGACGAGCGTTGCGTCTGATCCGAAGGGGACGGCGATCGCGGTGCGCAACGAGGGAGAGTTCCCCTGCGAAAATGTTCATCCGCACATCACCATCGCGAACGCGCCGGGTGTTCCGCCTGTGTACAGCAACGAGCTGCTGGACGATTCCCATGCAGATGACCCGTGCCGCACCGTCGTCAGTCTCCCCGCCGGCACACGCATCACCGGGACATTTGTCTTCAGGTAGCCGTGAGAGACACTGCGGTGCTCGCCGCTGGCTGCAGTGGCATCCTCTGCCACCCCATGCTGGGCTCGTGGGGTGCTGGTGGCCGTGGTGGTGTAAGCACCTGCCTTGTGACTGCATCGCCGAGTGTACTGCATGACGTTCCCACACTCCCGTGGCGACCCCGCTTCCCACATTCAGTATTGTGATGGTTGTATGGACTTCCGCTGTTGTTTTCTAGGAGCTTGTGGATGGAATGATCGCGGGGAAGGCTGGCTATTTAAATTAATATGTATCCTGGTAAAATGAATAGGCTTTAAGACATTTTTCTACCGTATGATTTTTGGTATGACCACGGCTGTAGGGGACCATGGAACCGATAGCCGCCAGATAATTTCGTAAATTTAATTTTACCATCTCACCCACTCCCTTTTGATTCCCACATTGCGGTGGGGTCTTGTGGCTGGAGAGCCCCAAAGCTTGACACTTCGTAAATTATTATTAATATATATATATGTATGTATCCAATCCGAATAGGGTGCAGCATGTCACGAGAGTGGCTATCGGAATACATATGTGTACATATACTTACTTGGGCAAAGCTTGAGGAAGTGGTGAGCCCACTGCTTTTTCACTTACCCCTTCTTCCCCTTGTATTGCTTGATTTTCGTAAATAACTTTACGATCCGGTCAATCGCCCTAGGCGAATATTTGCTTCTGTTTGCTCTTACCTCCCTCTGGTGCGAATTGGTGTGCCTCTTTGATTGGACTTCTTCCTTATGCCCCAAGCAAGGTCACATATGTTTCGGTATGGTGACTGTGGTCCGTTGCTTCCTCCACAAACTAAGCGAAGACGTGGGGAAACGGATGTCAAGGTGCGTAGGAGCCGAGTTTGCCCGTACGCAACTCGTGTGTACCGATTTATTTCCGAGGACATTGCCACGCAGATTAAGGTTTGCAGCGAGGTCCTTCAGGTGCCCTCAGCAAAATCTTTTAATTTGTCTTCGTTAACGGCGAATGTATCTTTTGATGTCAGTTGTCCTTCTGTTGTTTTGACAATGTGGAAAGATACAACATTGGCCGAAATTGCAACTTTACTCTTGGATAGTTTCCGCGACGGTGCTGATCATGTTTTTGTTGAATCTCAAGGTGCTGCCCAGAGTGGTGCTGCGAGCGTCACACGCTCTCTTGCAACTAGATGCGCTTCCTATGTGATAAAGTTGTATTCGGGCTGTGTCAGCGCGGAGGGCAATGCAACATTGTGTTGTCTTGCTACAATTGAGCTGCGTCAAGTTTTAATTGAGGAAAGTTTTGTTTTTCCTGTACGCCGCTTTTCTAATGTGGATGCTGATACGAACGTGTCGTTGCTGCCGTACAAGTTGGGCGATCCTCTTTTTTTCACCTGTGTGCGGGTGCAGTGATCTGTGAATTGTGGGAAGGAGGTGGAGTCGATGCAAAGAGAGGAATTTAACAAATATATATTTATATATATATATATAATGTTTAGTGTAAGACTTGGTTAATGCAGTTAATATTTTTCTATTTGTTTGTTTGTTTGTTTGTTTGTGTGTGTGCATCTTGTGGTTTGAGGTGGGCCTTTTTTTTTTTTTTTTTGGTGGAAGGAAATATCCAACGGGTTCTCTTATTGAGGATCGGCAGTTAGTTGGAAAAAGTGAAGAGACAAAAATGGACGGCATTAAGGGGAAGCCCGCCATGCTGATGACAAGGGGCATTATGGAAATGCGGCAGAATCCTCCGGGACTTGTATGCACCATCCGTAGGTTTAAGCATCCCACAACGCAGAAGGAGGTGACGCTGTACCCCATCGTTAACTTTGCCGCACCGCATTATTTTAGACGAGTCCTGGATGGTGATATCCTGGAAAGAAACTTTGACAAAGTTCTCTGTGAGGACGGTCGACTGCCCTTTGAGGCGGGATCACGTTTGGCTCGACAACAGCAAATGCTGAAACGCATTTTTCCCTTCTTTGGACTTCGGCCGGTGACCATCAATGGCTGTAAATTTGATGGGATTGTTCAGCGTGACCCAGTGGAGTCTCGTATGGCGTATCAGATGATCGTCGATGGTGCCGATCCGCCAGTGGACCCAAGGGCCCGGCGGGCCATGGAGCGTATCGAGACTTACCCGGATGGTACGCGGGTGGTGTGTCCGTGGGGAGTGTATCACTTAGTGTACATGAACCACAAGCTTCGCCAGTTAGGGTATATAGTGGAAAGCGAGGAGGCAGTGGAGGTGGTGGGCTACAGGGAAGCCGCACTGGTCTTTGGTATATTGGCTGTATTGACTTTTTGGATGTCGTATGCAATTTTTAGAATGGTTTTTGGGTAGAAGTATATGTCAGTAGAACCGGTGATTGGATGGGGGGAAGTGGGGACGTCATATTTTTTTCTCTTTTTGTTTGGTTGGTTGGTAACGGTTTGCACGCTACATATTGGTGTTGTAGTTTTTTTTCTTTTTTTTTTTTTTTTTTAGCCTCTTTTGTGGAGGGTTTTTTTTTGTTTTTGTTTTTGTTTTGTTTTCAGTGGTGTCATTCACACCAACATCTGGGCTGGTTTACTTCAGTGGAACTATTAATCTTTTTTTTTTTTTTTTTTTTGCTTTTATTTTGTTTTGGCTGCGTTTCTTGCGGCAACGCCAGCAATAACAGCAAAAAGAAGAGTGGCAGCAACTTCCACGGAAGGGGAAGGAGGAGGGACGGTTTTCGGGCAAAATACAAATGGAGGTTCTTAAAGAACTCCCCGTATCGGGACTGGACGCCCTTAAGAATAGATTTCTTCTCCGCGAACACCTTGGCGGCTTGACGGAGGAGGAGTTTGTGGAAGTGTTGCTCGGTGTCTGCGCTGACTACAGTACGGTCAATTCCCCTACGGAGGCCGAGGTCCGAAGAGTGTTTGCAAGAACCGATCTTTTGGGGATTGGCCGCATTTCTTGGGAAGAGTTCTCCATGTACGCTATTGATTCCCTCCGACAGCGTGTGCAGCGAGTGATAACTGGGGAGAAGGAAAATGAGCGTTTTCACCCGTATCATGTGGAGCAGCTCCTGTCGAAGGTTCATGCGGGATCTGTGAGGGAAATGCGTGTGTTACCGAAAATTGGGAAGGTAATGGTGGTCACCACAAGTATCGGCGGTTGTTGCACCATGAATCTCTGTGATATTTCGCGAAACCTCCCCTTGTTTGGTACTATCCGACAGAATTCTAATACACCTCTTGCGTGGGATGCACTTCCTCAGGCTGCGGGTGGTTTATTTTCCAACAGTATTGTCTGCTCTTACGATGGGGGGCTTGTGCGATTGTTTGGCGTCACAAAGACAAACTGCTTTGATTGCTGCTTGGAGGAATTCCAGCTGATGCATCTGACGGATACTCAATCTGCTATTCATTGGGTTCCATTTATGAACCGTCTTGCGATGGGTAGTTGTAAAGGCTTGGTGACACTGTGGGAAATGCAAAATCAATCTGTGATGTTGCGGAAGCGACTCTGTCGGCGCCTCATTACGAAGATGCAGAGTCGGAATCAACTGCTCTATGTGGCGAGCCTGGATACCCATGAGGCTGTCAAGTGTCTCGATCTCGAACACGGCAGAGTGCGGTATGCCTTGAATGATCACACTGTAGGTGGCGCGACACAGTTGTTGGTGGACGATCAGCTGTTATTCTCGGCGGGGTTTGAGCGAGGCATCGTACAGCGACCGCTGACACTTTCGAGGTCGGAGCCTGTGCTTCTGTACGACAGTTTACTCCCTCACCAAGGGTGTATAAGTGCCCTGGAACGTCTGAAAGATACCTCCCTTTTGGTCTCCGGGGATACAGAGGGAAATCTGAAGTTTTGGGACCTACGCATGGCTGCATGTTTGCAGACAATCAAGGGCAAAAAGACTTCTTCTAGCAACGACTGCCACACGCTTCCCGAACTGCAGGAGGATTTAAAAGAGTATTGTGCAGCCCCTGTGCGTAGTATCTGTCACATTGATGTGCTGGGCAAATTGGCTGTTGCGACTTCGAAAGAATTACTCGTCCTTAGTTCCGATGTTTCACTCCGCCCGGCACTCGTTGACGACCGTTGCAGCTGCCGGTTTGTATTTTTCCCAAACCCTGAGTTTTTTCTTACCGTGCATGATTCGTGTGCCAAATTGTGGTCTGCCTCCACAGGCATGTTAGACCGGTGCACTGGGCCGGATATAACAAAATTTGATATCACGTCCGGTTGTTTGCTTGAGCCCCTTAATCGGCAGCTGCTGTTGGGAACCATGGGGGGTGAACTAAAGGCATTTTCGGTAGCACTTCTGGAACTGTCGTTGGATCTGACACCCGCCATTCAACCATATATTCTTGGTAGGGAGATCACGGACCTTTATACAGTGACGCGATACGGCGATGATGACAGAACATATGTGATGGTTACCACAGAATCCACGATTATTATTGTCCCGTTCCGTCCAGACTGCGGTCCACAGGCTGTCATCTCATTTCAAGGAATAGTGAAGAGTTTCCTGCATTGGAATCAAATTATTAAGGCAACGGCAATCACGGAACTCCATTTTATTGTGGCGACTTCAGATGCACGTGTGCATTTTGTTAACTACCGGGGTCTTGTCTCTGTCACGCACACATTTCACATGCCAGCTGCAGTGGAAGCAATTATTACAAAGCCCGCTTTCATGTTGAGGGGCCACTTTGCGGAAGAGGGAATTAAGAGCAGTCAATCGAAAGAATTTATTACCTTCTTTGCGGATGTCTCAGGACGGGTGCACATCGCAGCCATCCGTGGTTGTACCTCAAATACAAATGGCAAACATTCACAAGGTGGGCATATGAAGTTGACGGAGCAAAGAGAACATTATTATTCTCAAGTCTCAGGGGAAATGATCGGGAGTTGGCTTCCACGGAAGCCTGAAAGTTGGATAGGGACTCAAGTGGAAGAACGGTTTCGGCAGCAGGAAATTGGACGTCTCCAGTCGCGAAATGGGAAAAGGTCTTCGATACTTGTCAATAGCAGAACAAAGCACGCCCGGAAATCAATCCTAGATCATAGATTTCTCTCCCACGACATGTCTTTACCAGATCCAGTGATATCAAGTGCAGTTAATATTGTGTTTTTGGACCACCACAACGTGCTGGTGACTCTGGATGAGGAGGGGACAGTGTGCTTTTGGAATGTGAGCGGTGCCGTGGCACATTACCTGGACGATTCTTTGGCATCTTTCCCTGTGTTGATTGCCACCTGGCAAATACCGGAGTGGGAAGTCATTTTTTTTGGCGCTGCCAGTCATCCGACGTTACATCTGCCGCTGCTACTGACAGCGACGAGTGATCTTCAGGTCACATTGTGGTCTGCAGATGGTATTGCATTGGGAACTTTATCGACAGGGCGCGAGGCCGACGAGGCCTCCGGTGGGCGCCGGTTTGGCCTACGACCGTACAGACTGTTGTCGGAGGACACAACCGCAGAACTCTGGGCGAAGTTTATTACGCACATGGACCGGATGGTTTTGCCTGATACATTGAAGGACAGCCCACTGCGCTTAAGAAGACGCTCGCAGGTAACCCTCACCTTTTCACAAAGGAGAGAAGGTATGGAGAGACGCAACTCCCAACTGAACGTCAGGCGTGCCAGCCAGCACTCGTGGAGACCACGGCCTTCTGTTTCACTTACCCATGTGGATTCCACCGAAGACACTGTCATCCTCCGCAGTCAGAGAGGAAGTACTAACTCACAAAGTTTCCAAAGCGACGATGACAAATATAGCAGTTTTGACGAACGATGTGAGGCAGGCATTAGGTCGATTGTTAAGCCTGTTTACCAGAGCCTTGTTAAATGGACTGATTCGTCCTTCTCGCTGAAAAAAACAGGCGTTGTCTCCCTTCCCCCATTAAATGCAGCCACGGGGAGCCGCAGAAGACGTTTCCAACGGTAACGCTGCGGTGAGGTGTGGGAGGAAAGGGCATAATCCGTTCAAAATTTTGGGGCTGCTGGAATAGGTGTAATGAAATCATTTTTTCACATCTTTTTTTTTGTTGTTGTTTGTGCTGTTGTTGCTTCCTATTTTACTTTTGCTTTTCGTTTTTTGTGAGTGAGTCAATGTGTTTATGTGTGCAGTTGGGGAAAGTAGGGAAGCGTGATTGTTGCCCCAGTTAGTTGGCCGGTAGCGGCCTGCATTTTTTCCTTCATGTATGTACTTGTATACGTCTTTGTGTTTGTGTGTGTGTGTGTTGGGTGGGTAAATGAGTCCTATATTTTGATCCTTATCTCGGTTCTGTGAGGTTGCTATTATGGAAAGTATCTTTGCATGGCAATACATTGCAGCTCATTAGAGTGCGCATGATGCAATTATGGCTGCTGTGCCGTATCTGATTTTTTTTTCTTTTTTTTTTTTTTTTTTTGTTGCTGCGGCAACAGCCGCCTCATTTTGTTTCTTTATTTACAAAATTTTCCCCATCTTCTCTCCGTGTGTTGTTTGCTTTTATTATTATTATTATTATTGCAGCTTCCTTTTTAATACCACGCCATGGGGGCTGCCGATGGAAAGGATGGAACATGTAGACATGTGTGCATGCCCCAAATTATGACTCTTTTTCTCTCTCTCTCTCTCTTTGAGTGTGAGGAGGCGGGAAAAGACATTTTTTTTGTTTTTGTTGTTTTTCATTTGACTTCATGACGTCTTACCGGGCGCTGCATGGCGTGCGTGCACGTTTATTTGGTTTCTTCCCCTGTTACTTTTTTTTTTTTTTCTCCGTTTTGTTGTTGTTTTTCTTCTTCTTCTTCTCTCGTGCGTCTCTGCCACGCGGACTGTGGCCGCCGGGCTTCACTGCGGTGCGGGGAGGAGAGCAGCGTCCACACGCAACAGGCAGGAAAAGGAGGAGGCGTGGTGGGGAAAGATGCCGCCAAAGCAGGACAACGTGCAAAGACTTCTTGCAGCGGAGCAGAAGCGCAACAAAATCATTGCTGAAGCCAAAGCACGACGGCAAGCGAAGGTGAAGCAGGCGAAGATCGATGCGGAGCAGGAGGTGGCCGCTTTTCGGCGGGAGAAGGAGCAGGAATACGAGCAGTACAGGGCGCAGCAGTTGAGCGGTGCAGACGCGGAAAACTTGGAGTTGGCACGAGGAACAGAATTGCAGCTTCAGGAGCTCCGCACACTCACGGCGAAGCGCATGAATTACGTTGAAGATATGATGGCCGCTTTGATCCTACAAGGCGGAGAGTTAAAAGAATAACAGTGAAGAAAAACACGAGCCGATAATACTTTTAGGAGGAACATACATGCCTACATGTGTCCATCCTTCTTACACCAGGACATACATGCACATATACACGCATGGACACACTCTCTCTTTCTCTCTTTCTTTCTTTCTCTTCTTTTGGGTGTACGTGTGTGTGCTTGCAGGCAAATGAGGATATTGACGCATGTTGTGTTTGTGCCTTAGCGCTCAATGTATGAGACAAAGAGGGGAGGCGTGTATGTATATTTATGTACGGTTCTGGGGTGGGGGGGTGAAGAGGAAGTGGGATATGGTAACGAGAATGAATGCATGTATCTGAAATGATGGGAGGGGAGGGGGGAAGGCAGCGGCGGTGGTGTGACGCCGCAACACAAAATATATATTTATATTTTAGATGTCGCTTAACATACGCCTTTCCATCATATTCACTTACTCGCATTATTTATTATTTATTTATTATTATTATGTACGGCGCTCAAGGAATAAATGAAAGAAAAGAAAAAAGAGGGAGGAGGAGGAGAAGAAGAGGTGGTGGTGGTGGTGGTGGTGAAAAAAGAAAAAAAAGGAGATTTCTTTTCTTTTTTTTAAAAAATATCCCGATGGCGGCCGTTTATTTATTTATTTATTTGTTGTTGTTGTTGACATTGGGCGAATGAAACCTATTTTTTCCCACCACCCCCATTACTTTTCTTTTTTCTTGCCTCCCCTCATTGTGTGCATGCATCCATGTTTCTTTTGATGGTTGCCCATGACGTTTTGGCACTCTTCTTCTTTTTTTCTTTTTTCCTTTTTTCTTTTTTTTAGTCCGGCCGTGTCACTTTCTTTTCCTTCTCATCTCTCAGCCACTGAAGGGGGAAACACATAGGAGTAAAATACAGACAGACAGACAGACAGACACATTTATATATTTCCCCCTTTTTTTTGTTTTTTTGTTTTGGTTTTGGTTTTGGTGTTGTGTGTGTGCGTCCGTGTTGTTGTTGTTTATTTTCAGTGTCATTGCATCCCCATAGTCGCTGCATCCATCTAAATATATCTAAATATATGCAATAATAATCAGAATATTAAATAAATAATAAATATTTATTGACTCATTTTGTTTTTGTTTTTTTGTTTTTTTTTTTTTTACTCCCTCCTGGCTTGCGGAACAAAAAAAAAAAAGGAGGGAAATGTCTGCTGCAGACAACGACCGTAAGAAACCGGCGGCGTTGCTGGAGTCATTGTTTATGTGGGAGATGGTGGCATCCTTTAGTACACCACTGACGGTGTGTGAACTGGAGCGTATTTGCCGTGACGTGCATGCACTCTTAACATTTAGTTCAACCGGTACCCGTCTAATGCAGCGGTATTGGAATGCGCAGTACCATAAACTTATTTGGGAGGAGAACCACATGGATCCTTTACGACGGACACTTGATTTTACCCTCACACGGAGCGAGGGGAAACGTAATTGGAAGAAAATGTACCGCGAGGAGTACCCGTTATATTTAGCGCGAACGATACAAGGAAAAGGTGCCAACAACAATGCCATCAACATGGCGAAGGTGCGCTTTAAGACGGAATGGAGGAATGAAATCCTCTCGGGTGAGGAACTTGCGAAGTTGCAAATCACGCCGCAGGAAGCCCTGGCACGGCGGGTGGCGAGGGATTTGGTGAGCCTTGAGGGCGAAGAAGTCAACGGCACTCTCAGTCTTCACCACCACCACAATAATAATAACAATAATAATAATGTTATTGTTGTTGTTACTGGTACCAGTAGTATTGGTGGTGATGGCGATGGTGGTTGTGACTCTGGCGTGCCGCAGCAGTCTCAACGGAGGGAAGAAGGGGAAACGACGACGACAACGACGATGCCACGACGTCACCAGACGGACAAGAGAGGCAGGCGAAAAGGCGGTCACGACGGACAATCCCATGCGATGAAAGACCCGGCATTGGGGCTTTCACGTGATGATTACAACAATGACAGGCGCCTTGGAAAACATAAGAGCAAACACAAAAAAGGCGGGATGCATCGATGGAGTGCATTTGCGAGTGGTGAGTTGGATGACGACTATTGAGGACGGGAAACATCACAAAAACAGGAGGCCAACGACAATATCTTCTAGCAACGGCTCTACGGGTTGCCAACCCCACACAGCGGGGACGTCCTTCGACTACTTCCAATACTTCTACTGGGAGTAGTAGAGGTGGTGGTGGTTTGTTTGTTTGTTGGTTTTCAGAGACTACTCCATCTTTTAGTTCTGTTCCTCCATGCACTTCTCACTCCTGCTCTGGAAGGACAAACGAAACGGAAAATAGAATTTATCTTTTTGTTGCTATTGTTATTATTATTATTATTATTATTTTGGCAACCATTTACTGATGGTAAATAGTGAAATCTAGAAGGTGTGTAGATGGTATGTTGAATATAAATGAGAGCATAAGAGATAAGGGGGGGGGGGGGGGGGGGGAAGGGAACACCGGCCCTTTTTTTTTTTTTTTT